GAACCCGCCACCTTAGGTGTACGTGGCTGGCGCCTTAGCCGGTTGAGCTATAGGCGCCGAGCCAACAGTTCAACTTTTTGAACCTCACACCATGGGGAGTGAGGAAGGGGGGCAGTGAGTTGGCATGTTTAGAAATGTGTGGGGGCAGTTTTTGGTTGTCACAATGCCCAGGGGCGAACGAAGCTGTATGTCACATGTAGTGAAGAAATGTCCTACTCCAAATGTCAATCATAACTCTAGCGCAGGGTAAAATAGGATCATTCCCATATTTTTGAGTGTCCCATTTACATATCACAATGTGAAGCGGTTCCTCGTCACTGACATGTCACATGGAAGGATTAGATTGGATGTGAAGTGTGTTATTACTGCCACCTTGATGTGCCCTTAAGGTGGGGTGAACTCAGGGAGCAGCGTTGTCATTAGAGATGATTCACAGTGTGACTCATTCAATAAAGAGGCGCTGGAGGGAACGTGCTCTGTCAAGGCGACACAGTCACAGTCACAGTCGGGCTGATCTGGGGGTGGGGACAGCATTGTGTACTCACTAGGGGAGCAAAAGGCTTCTTCACTCCTCAAAGACAATTTATGCCAGAGTTATGTTTCTCTGTTTTAACAACATAATATAACTTTACCAAGCCTAATACTCCTTTTTGATGTACACTTTTTATTTTGATAGTTTTAGATTTACAGAAAAGTTGCATAGACAGGACAGAGCGGCCCCCATACCCAAACTCCTGCTATTCACAGTGTGAATCAGTATTGACACATTATTATTAAAATACAGCCCATTCTGGCCCCCCTCACTTTCCACCTAAAGTCCTTTATGTGTTCTAGGATCCCATCTAGGATTCCAGGATCCCATCTAGGATTCCAGTGACATTTAGTGATCATGTCCCCTGGGCTCCTCCTGGCTGACTGTCCCTACAACTTTCTTGGGACTGCACATGTCCTCCTCTTCTGCCTTCCTGCTGGCACTTACACTCACATTCATGTCCTTGCCATTTTTTTTTGGTAGAGACACAGTCTCACCTTCTCGCCCTCGATACAGCGCCGTAGCATCACACAGCTCACAGCAACCTCCAGCTCTTGGGCTTAGGCGATTCTCTTGCCTCAGCCTTCCAAGTAGCTGGGACTACAGGCACCCGCCATAACACCC